TTGTGTATTAGTTGTACTTAAATGCTTTTGTGCATCTCAAAATATCTCTCAATTTAGGTATTACTAACAAATATTTCCAACCTAAAGATCATCTGACAATAGGATTGTGGCTTTTAGAATGGAACGCACCCAAAAACGGCTCTGCTCTGCAAAGATGAGGAAAAATCAAAAGGTATTTAAGGTATTTATTGGCGTCAGCCTGACTTAATAGTGTGCAACAGAACTAACCAGTTGGGTCCAAATCGTGTCCATTTAATTCCTGGCACAGATGAAAAATACATAACAATGCCAGTAAAATGATGGTTTCTTGGAGCAGGCAGCCCACATACGGCAGACTCTGAGTCACTCTGAAGAGTTTTCCTCACCCGTCTTCGTAAATGCTAAAGCCAAGGAGAGCATTTTCATTCTGGAACTGTCAACTGTAAATCCTTCAGCAGTTTGGGATCCAGTCTTTTTCTCTGCACTAGACTTCCTGAGCCATCTCCGAGTGCTATCATGCCAAAAGGCAATAAACCTGTTGTTCTTTTCTGCTAATGTGAACTCAATAAAAATATACAGAAGCTTTTAGTTCTTTCAATGTTTGGATAGCTTAAGTCTTTCCGAATCCAAAATAATCACATACTCACTCAACATCTTACAAAGACAGCTTATCACAGGAACTTTCTCACTTAATTAAACAACTGGATATAAATTTAACTAGAATTCACCCAATAACTAAGTTCTACTACTGCTGTTCAACTGAACTGAAATTGCCAATGGTATTAGCAAATCTAGTAGATTTCCTGTCAAATATATGCTTATTACTGAAAGGCTTTCACAGATCTGGCAGAAGAGCTTAACATTATTTTAGCACACATTGTTTGACAATTTACAGAATTCTGTCATTTTTTAAATGATTTTCATTGATCTTCTGAAGCTCCTCAAATCACTCGTTAACAACCCCCAGAGAAACTCTAAATATCTTTCCTGGACCACGACAGAATGGGAACACAATGCTGGCTGATGTTCCTTCCGTAACAGCTGCAGTGCCAAGGTCCGTACTCTCTAGGAGACGCTGTGAAGGGGGCTTCTTGGTCCTCTGGGACAAGAGGACAATATATTTTCTTGCTAAGTGGCACACTTGACTTCCTTGAAGCTTTCTTCCATGTCAAGATGAGGGAGGCCCCAGATGAGCACCTCCAGCTGCCATGGGCCATGTTTCAGTCAGGCCGTGATCCAGGCAGAGCGTCAGAACTAAATCCTTTGCTGGCAGCCTCAGTAATGAACCTGTTTTCATACTCCTGACAGCTGAATCCCACCCACCAAATAGGGCTCCTGACATAACGAGTATCTGAAACGGCTGTCAAACCGTACCAGCGGTCATCTTCGTATCACTCATCTCTAAATCCAGCCCTACTCAAGGGCATCCCTCTATCTGTAAAAACCAGAAAACATAAAGGAGAGTCTACAGCATTGTTGCAATGACTCGTGGCATGCCAGTCCAGCCACGGTATGACCCACCCAGGAAGCGCGTTGTCGAGCGAGGACTGACTAAAGTCAGAGCTAACCTAGGGAAGATAATCCTTCCCGTTTAATTCTTCCCCTGAAGCCACGCGTGTGCAAAACACACGAAGGAAGCTGGGGACAGAAATTAATCCGTCATATCAGAGTTTTCTTTGTTGTCTTCCTTGCCTATCAGATTTAATGTTTGAAGAGCTGCCTTTGAACTCCAGCAAACAGCTTGCTTAGGTATCCAGATGTAAATATCCCCGCTCGTTAAGTGGGCTGTAAATGGATTTCACTGTTCATTCCAAAGCTGCCACACGTGAGCACAGTAAAGCTGAAAGCCCAGCTGGAAAGCTGCACAGAAGAGTCCCTCAGCCGCCTTGTCTGCCAGGGCCTGACACGGCAATCCAGTAACAGACTGCCCACAAAGGAGACGAAATGGGGAGACAGGGGAAGCTCAGACACGATCGATCACACCCCTTTACAACCTGAAGGCTGCAGACCAGGATTTCTCCAGTCTAGCATCTCTACGTCCACTTCTGTAAGTGTGGCGACAGTTTTCCAAACTGTAAATAGGATCTTTTAGAGATAGAGGTAGGACTCACGAACATGAAATGGAGGTAGAGCACCACCTTGTCTAGGTAGTACGTCAGCCTGTCTTGAAGGAGATTGTTCAAACACTCTGTGGCGGGCAGGACACTTGGCACAGTACAACACATCATACTTTTAAATGTCCAAGTACGCTCTACTGCACCTTTGGACTCCTGGAGTCAAGTTGCCTGAGCACCAAAAAAAGGAAAGGAAGCGACTGATTTGGACTTGGTTTCGCTGGAGCTCTCACAGATGGGTATTTATGTATTTACATTGGCCGTTCGCTGCTGATCTTCGCTCCAGAAGAGGTTCTGAAGCCGTGTCATGAAGAAGAGTTGCATCTCACGCAAGGAAGTGAAAGCTGCTTCAGAAATAAAGAAAAAAGTCAAATTCCACTTTAACTAAAGAGAACAATACTTGGCTGTAAACGACTTCATTCCAGGCCTCAGCTTCCCCTGAGCGGTCAAAAAATGCATACCAGCATTCCACAAAACAGAATCATAGAATCATAGAATGGTTTGGGTTGGAAGGGACCTTAAAGATCATCTGGTCCCAACCCCCCTGCCATG